TGAGAAGGATGAACAAGGGAAGACAGAATGGGACTGAGGCGGTTCGCCAGGACTTTGGAGATGATTTTGAACATACCATTAAGGAGGCTGATAGGCCTGAACTCAGAGGCAAGGGAAGGTGAGGGAGTTTTGGGGATGAGGGATATGAGGGAGTGATTGAAGATATGGAGGTGGGAGCTGTCACTGTATAGATGATTGAAGAAAGCTAGGATGTCGGGTTGGAGCAGGTCCCAAAAGGATTGGAAAAAGGAGATGGGAAGGCCGTCGGGACCTGGGGCTTTGTCTGGATGGAGACCGAAGATAGCTGATCTGATCTCGGCAGCTGAGAAGGGTTGATCCAAAGAGAGGAGGGAAGCAGACGGTTGGGGATAGAGGTGGTTCCAATCTAGTTGGAAGGGGGAAGGGGGGTTGGCTGTGAAGTGATTGGAGAAGTGCTGATAGAAGGCCTTTTGTTTGTCTAGCTCAGAGTAGAACGTCTGATTGTTGAAGGTGAGGTGGGGGATGAAACTCTTCCTTCTGTGAAAGGAAGCGGTTTTGTGGAAGAAGGCAGTGTTGGAGTCTCCAGCTAGTAGCCATTTGATAGATGATCTTTGTTTCCAGTATATTTCTTCTTGAGAGGCTAAGGATGAAAGGAAAAGTTTGAGGGAAGATCTGTAGGCTATTTCTGATGGGAGGAGAGGTTTGGATTCTTCTAGGATATTAAGAGAGAGAATGGCATTAAGAGCGGCAGATTTGCTGAAAGAGATGGAACCGAAGATGTTAACTTTCCACCATTTAAGTCTACGCTTAAGGATCTTGAGTTTAAGGTGGAGAGATTTGACTGGATTACCTCCGCAAGAGAGGTTGGACCAACATGAAGAGACGAAGCTAGAGAAGGAGGGATGGGAAAACCACGACTTATCAAGACGAAAGGGGGGCCTGGGGGGAGGGCAGGAGGTGTCTAAGATGATGAGTTCGTGGTCAGAGCAGGATGATGGGTGGCAGAATTGGTAGATGGAAGGGAGAGGTGTCTAAGATGATGAGTTCGTGGTCAGAGCAGGATGATGGGTGGCAGAATTGGTAGATGGAAGGGAATTTAGATTCGAAGTCTGGGGAGATAAGCAGAGCAGGATGATGGGTGGCAGAATTGGTAGATGGAAGGGAATTTAGATTCGAAGTCTGGGGAGATAAGGAATCTGTCTAGTCTGGCCATGGACGGGGAAGATCTCATGTTGGACCAGGTGAAAAGTTTGCCATTCAGAGGAAGATCAATCAGGTTAAGGGAGTTGATGAGAAGTTGGAAGTTGTTGATGTCTGAGTAAGAGGATAGCCTACCACTTCTTTCCTGGGAAGAGGAGGTAACATTGAAGTCTCCGAAGAGGGACCATGGGTGGGGGAACATGATCTTGATTCTACGGAGTTCCCACCAACACACATCTCTGTCGGCCTTGTCAGTGGGAGCATATACAGATGTGACGAGGAAGGACCAGTTGAGAAGTTTGTGACGAAGGACCACAGAGACGGAGAAGATGCCTACGAAGGAATCCAGGCAATCGAAGAGAGTGTCATTCCACCCTAGAAGGACACCTCCTCTGGACTCGATAGCATCTAAGGACAGCCAGGAGGAAATTCTAGACCCTCCCAAACTCTTGAGGACAAAGTTGCTCGTGGCGTTGAGCTTGGATTCTTGGATGCCTATTAGGTCGACGGAAGAAAAGGAGATGGAGTCTCGGACTAGCCTTCTTTTAATGGGGTTGTTAATACCCCTAACATTCCAGGTGCCAAATTTCATGAGGACAGATGATGGGCAACTGCAGAGGGAGAGGGAAGATCACTGGGAGGATTCTGCCCTACCTTTCTCTAGGGATCTAAGGCTAAGCAATCCATCTGCGGGAACAGGGTCTAGGGCCCCGCAGTTGGAGAGAACGGTTGTAAGCTGAAGGTCTGAGGCGTTGTTGATGGGGGTGGAGATGGAGGAGCTTGAAGAAGACTTACTGTGCTTGGTAGATGATAGCGATCTTGATGCCGAGAGATGGCGGATGAAAGCTTTGTGGGCCAGAGCTCTCCTAACTCTGGCTTTAGAGACGGATCTCTTCTTCTTACCTGCTGCAAAATGCTCGAAGCCAGGGGGAACTGATCCGGTCTTGCTCTGACTCTGGGAGGAGGGGGAGCTGGAGGATGATGGGGCTGCTGAACGGGCGATGATCGGCGCCTGGCGAATAACAGGGAAGGAGGAAGCACCGACACCCTGAGCCTGAAGGAAGCTCATCCAGAGGGATTTGTCGACCGTCAGGTTACGGCCGTCCCACATCACGTCAATTAGGTCAACGTCCTGCTCTGCGCCGCGGAAAACAGATGGTGGGGGGCCCAAGGTAAGGTGGTTTGACTTGACTGGTGACCTTGCTCTCGGGGGCAGCGCCGAATTCAAATTAGCTGGCGAAATGACGTCTATACCCTTCCCTTTGTTGGGCGGAGGCGGAGGAGGAGTAGGAAGAGGAGGACGCGGCGAAGGCCGACTGTTCTGGGGCTGCTGATCAACAACAATATCGTCTGGGCCTCTATCGACCCATCCTGACTCAGTGGAGGGATTACCTGCCCATTTGGCTTCGTGCTCTTGAACTTCTGGCTTCTCAAAATCGCGCTCCGAGATCTGGCGCCCAATGATTTGGGTGACGATGAAACCCTCCAGCAAGCTACCGTCAATGGGAGGCACATACCTAAAAGTGATTTTTTTAGGGATGTCGGCTAGGTCCCTGACTTTGAGGAGGACCTTGCAATCTCTGAACTTGGCTCTGAAGGCTACGTCTTCTGAACTGGTGATGCATTCTCCCACATCTTTGAACAAGGAGAGGATGAACTCCCATTGCCAGAGATGATAAGGCAGCCTAAGGATGCGGACCCAAGTGAGGAAAGGCTTGGGGAGCGTCGCCAGACGGAGGTCTTCTCGCCAGCGAAGGAATCTCCCTTTGAAGGTGCCCATATCGACTAACTTGAGGTCAAGAGCTTGCTCTAGGATCTCTGAGGAGGGGAACTGGACCATGAAGCTGGTGCCTGCAGCTGGCTTGATGGAGCTGGTCCAGTTTCTAACATTAAATCTGTAGCTGAGCATCTCCCTGATCTCGGGAACAGATGGGTTACCCTGAGCTAGATAAAAAATAGCGTAGGAGTGCAGGTCCTGGATGATGCCGGCTGTGACTGCAGGAATAGGAAGGATGGGAGCTGAGGAAGAGGCTGTGGACGCCTTAGGGCAATCTTTGGAAATGTGACCTTTCCCATGGCAGAAGAAACAAATGAAATCTCCATGGGGGCAGTCACGGGCCATATGAGACGAGCTACGGCAGTAGAAGCACAGAGGAGGAGGAGGAGGAGGACGGTGTTGGGGAGTAGAGGAGAAAGGGCGCTTTTTGCGGTGGGAGACTGTGGTCCAGCCAGGTTCAGGAACTGGGGGGGTGAAGGGGGGATGGCTGGGAAGGGGGAGGAGGCCTTTGGACGAATTGGAGACTGGGGGTCTGAAGCGGCGATGGTGAGGAGTTTTGTTGAAAAGGGATGAGAAGGGTCTTGGGAAGGGGGAAGGTGTGGATGACTGGTGGCCATTGGGAATAAGCGGGGAGTTAGAGGGACGGGCAGTGTGGGCAGCGGTCTGGGTTGATAAACAGTTGTAATGGATTCCACAATAAAATTGATTTTCGAAGCAAACACACCTAATTCATTTTAAGCCCGAAATTCTCACATAAAGAGCTTTATTCCTTTAGAAATTAAAAATTTACTTCATCGTATTCAAACCTATCTGCTTCAAAGATCACTCTTTGTCCCAAAAATTTATCATTGTTTTCTCTTATTTATATATATCCCAATGATATGTGTTTAGATCTAATAAATGCGCATGGTAATTTGGTCCCACATTGTCATGTACAATCAAATGAATTAAGTTAATAAAAAAATAGTTATAAGCATCTATGTACTTCCAAATGAATCTTCGTAAGTATAAATTCCAAGTTGTTATCATTTATTTTTTAGAATCCTACTAATACTTTGAAGAGTTCTCTAATACATTGGATCTCTAACTTGCTAAATTATTAACTTAGGTTAAGTACTATAACGCGATCGTGAAGCTTTTCCTTATTCTTTATTTTAGCTTATTTTCACGCTAATAACGCGGCATCAAATGCAGGTCAATTTTCCTTGTTATATCTTATATATACGTGTGTGTCTATACGTATACATATATAAAGAGAATGCCCGTGAAGGGGTTTATGTGCAATTTAGAAAGCGGTAATGGGCTAGAAGCCCGAGGATCTAATCCAGCCCAAATCTATCCCTTTCGAGAAGAAAACTATAATTGACATCGACGTTTTCGTGCTCCATGTGCAAACCTTAATGAAAACATTAAATTTTCGTCGCCCCCATTCTTTGACTTCAACGAAGGCCCACATCCGCTCCAATCTAACTTTAATGGAAATTTTTAGGGTAAATATTACAAAAGCCCCCATTAAGTTTGACTTGTCTTGAGATAATAATAATTTCTTAAATGTTTGACAATATCACTTCAACCCCTTTAAACTTTTCATTTTTCTTTAGAAAATATTTTCTTGTCTGTATAGCCCCAACATTTATCTTATTTTGAGAGTTACCCCAAATCTGACTATTTATAAAAACATCCCTATATTTTTTGAGATTGAGCTACCTCACCCCTCTCATTTAACAACATTAAACTTGAAGACGAAAACAATGACATAATATCCTCATTAACCCAAAAGGAAAAAGAAATAGGGTTTTCTTTTCATGTTTAACCAATTCTACCTTATTTGCAGATATACCCTTAACATATGTATATTTTCTAATGTTGCCAATGATATTTAACGTGCTTAATAAGAGCGGGGTATAAAAGTCTAACGAGAGAGAATAAAGGGGTAACCTATCAACTACGCAGATTGGAAGGGCTAATGTGAAAATATGATAGATGTGACTTGTGAGGTATAAAGTGATGACAAACAAAAAGCCCACAATTATTCAACCTCAAAACTCCCAGTAATCTTCCTCTATAACAAATACGAGAGAGAACCTCAAGACTCCCATTAATCTCCCTCTATAAAAAAACAAATACGAGAGAGAGAGAGAGAGAGAGATTGGAACCATGTCAGCAGGACGCGGAATATGCTGGGTTGCAATTGGTACTCAACTGCAGAGCAAGTCACTCAAGGGCTCGATGGCTCTGGCCTCACTGCCATTGTTACAGGTAAAATTTTGGATTTTTTTCCTTTAATTTTTCATTTGGGTTTTATCAGAATTAGCAGTATTTGATGTGCGTTGTTGGTGGGTTTTGATCTTTACAAGATTTTTGAAGATTTGGGTTTGATGTTGTAGCGAGTAACTTGATAGAACAGAAATCTGAAATTGAAAAGGAAAATTTTGGTGGCAGTCAAAAAGTCCTTGAGGGTTTTGCTTGGCGTTTGGATTTTGGTGGAGATGTTGATTTTTTGAGTTGAATACAGGCTATATTATGCTTGTCATTTTTTGACCCAGGAATTTATTATATTATGTTATGTTTGTCATTTGTTGACCCAAGTATTATGAATATGCTCTAGAGAGCTCAAAAGGATTATTTAGAGTTTAATTTGGACCCCATTAGTGCGAAAATGACATATTCCTAATATAGTAGACAGTTCAATTCATTGCTGAGATAACTAGTCATAACTGTGCATTAAATTATAGAAAGCTATGGTTAAAATAAGGATTATATGCACATTGTTAGCACAAAGGTTACTCAATTCTTAACTTTGATACCCCAAAGTTTCGGTTATCTAAGTTGAAATTTGTGTAATCTTTGGGGTCTCAAAGTGTATGAAAAAATCTTTGGGTATTAAAGTCAAGAAAGGTGTATACGTTAGCGTATCAAATTGTCACACAGAAACATTTGGGTATTAATGATAATAAGATGTAACCTTAGGGTACCGAGTGCAAATAACCCTTAAAATAATAATCTCTGAACCTGAGTTAAATTGCCTGAGAAACTTTACATAGTAAATAGTGGGTAATTATGATTTATGACTAATGTATTAGGTAATTATGACTAATGTATCCCTCTTAATCGATCTAAACATAACAAAGTTATTATCATTATTAGAAAAAAAACAAAAATAGTCCTTTAAAGTGGAAAAAATAAGTAATAGCACTTGCTATAGGACGGAATAATGTTATAATATAAAAAAAAAGACCATTGTTCCCTTTAAACAAAGATATGCTTGCACAATTGTTGAACCTCATAAGAGAACATAGTAATCATCGGATGATATTTACTATTATGGTGATTGTTCTTCACTCACTCCAATCGACAGAAAATGAATATGTATATGGATTTTAGGGAAATAAAGTGGAAAACTGATAGGGTTACTAGCTTCTTTCGCTAATAAGATATGAGAACTAACTAACATAAAAAATTTATCATTACCTGCATAAGAATTATTGACATAATTGTCATTATGGAAGATTTTATAAGGCCAAGCGTGGTAAAATAAAATATTGGCTTGAAAATGACACATTGGTAATTCTTAGGGACCTATTTGCCTTCCGAAAAAAGTCTGTTTATATCTTGATATCAAAAGAGGGACTATTATGTCATAACTTATTTGTTGATGGATAGTGTCTTTGATATATTAACTTCTCTTGTTTGATACTTAAAACTTTGAACATTTGGGTTCAAGGGAGTTACTAGTTAAATTTTTATTCGGTCTATATCCCATTATAATTTACAGGAGCATCAAGTGGCATTGGCACTGAAACTGCTCGTGTTCTTGCTATGAGAGGTGTTCACATAATCATGGCTGTTAGGAATCTGACTGCTGGTTACTCTGTTAGCGACTCAATTGTGAAGGAAATTCCCACTGCTAAAATTGATGTCATGGAGTTGGACCTCACCTCGATGGCATCAGTAAGAAAGTTTGCATCGGAGTTCACTGCTCAGAATCATCCACTGAATATCCTTATGTAAGGAAATTCTGAAGCAGACGATCATAATGTTATTGATCAATGTTTGTGTATGTGTTTAGTTTATAATTCTATTTTATTTAAAATTGACAACTTTATCGGTGTTTATTGTTGGAAGTAACAATGCGGGAGTTATGGCTTGCCCCTTTGCCCTTTCCAAAGACGGTATAGAGCTGCAATTTGCAACAAACCATGTCGGTGAGCTCCGCTATTTTCATCTCTCTTTGTTATTTTGAAGCCGAATTTAGTTAGTGTAATGTTTACACAAGCTATTGGAGTTCACATATATTACCATTTATCTGTTAATTATTTGTCTTAGAATTGTAGACCCTTCAGAGTTGAAAGCATTTATAATTTCATTTAAATTCTCTCTTTTTTATTAGTCGAAATCATTGGACTTTTTTTTGGCAGGTCATTTCCTCCTAACACACCTTTTGCTAGAGAACATGAAGGATACTGCCCGTAAGAGTAAAATAGAAGGAAGAATTGTTAATGTTTCCTCGGAGGGACATAGGTTTGCGTACAGTGAAGGAGTTCGGTTTGATAAGATAAACGATCAATCACAGTATGTAACGCTAATATGGTTGCATTAATCCAATAGAGCTTATATGAAGCATAAGGTGCAAATTAATTGAGTATTTAAATTTCATTCTGACCTTTTTATGACAGGTATAACAGCCTCTATGCATATGGGCAATCAAAGCTCGCGAATATATTGCATGCTAACGAACTTTGTAGACGTTTTAAGGTATATTCTATACTAATTTATAGATTAAATGTGGGACATACTTGTAACAGTGTTAAACTAGTCTCCCTCTCTATATTCAGTCATTTCATTAAACTGAGGTTTTGTATCACTTGTAGCTGTATATATCTCCTCTGCAAGGTGTAACCTTTTTAGAATCAGAGAAGTTCTAGCTGATAATATTTTTATATCAGTGTGTTCTCAATTCTTTGAGGACCTTCTGTTGTCTGTATGACCATGAAATGGCCTTTCATAACTAGTGTTGTTTATTCGCTTTATTTTTCCATACTGGCATGATTTGCTTAAATAATGTATATGAACATCTTGAGGTTTGGTTGAGTTCTCATCACTTCTTTGAAGGAGACCTTTGCTTCCTCCCTAACGACTTAGATGGGCATACCCTCTTTTCTTTAAAAGATGCGTTTATGTAGGCTTTTGCAGTGATTCCTAGGCCTAGTCTGATATGGACTAGGAAGCATTCTTATCTTCTTGCTTAATATTGGAAATTATGTTCATCTTACGATGGCATAGTACTGAAGTAAGTACTGATGTGCCTACCTCACTCTTTGTTAGCATATGAACAACGAAAATGATACAAAAAAGAGAAAGAGGAAAAAGTAAAATTATTTAAATACTTAAGTCGCATCAGCTGAATGATAACTTATTGAAGGTTGATAGAACATTAGAACTACACGTATGGGCATGAAGATGAGAACTGTTTCCATGGTTCTATGCGATAGGAAGGGTGCATTCTTGCAAATTGAGGAATATTTTTGCAAATTTGTATTAAGGCTGACTGACTTGGCCTGAAAAACTGGCCAAGTTTTACTTTATGTGAGCTGCCTTATCTAAAAATTTCAGCAATCAAATTAATTTTCTGAGACTAAAATTTTCTAATTTTTATATATAGCTTTCATTCACCGACATGCCACACATTCTGTCAAACAATTGAATAACAAAGCATCTTTTTCATTTTCCTGATCAATCATCCATGATATACATAAGTCCTTATGGATCAATTATTTATTAAGCATTTTCAGCTTAAAGATGACAATCGTGCTGAATTTTCTTGGTTTAAAACAGGAAGAGGAAGTAGATGTTACTGCTAATTCTCTTCATCCTGGATCAATTATCACGAACCTTCTGCGCTACCACAGCATTATTGACGGTAAGAGCTTAATTCCCATATTAACTGCTCGATCTGTACATTTGTTTTCTTCATCTGCTTCTTCTGTGTATTATTTAACTATTTAATCTGTTGAATATCTTCTATTTTAATGGGTTATAATGATGTCATCTAGAGACGTCTTCCCTTTCGTGCTAGAAATATCGACTCATCACTCTTTTATCCTCGTATTGGATCTGATGTAGCTGCAAGCTTGCAACTTGGAAGATACACTTAGGACTGACCCAAAAGGCACATATATTTTCAAGGGAAAGGATTATGATAATGGATGATGACTTTTTGAGGTTGAAACTATTCGTGTAATTGTATTTTAAAGGGTAAATTTCACATAACACCCCTAAGGTTTGCTTCCTCTTGAGATAACCCCCCTTAACCCCTAAGCTTTGGGGCTTGTCACAAGACTCACAATCCCTCCCCACCTCCCACCCCACCCAACATCCAAACTTAAAAAAAAGGCTGCAATTTTTTCACATACCCTCGTAACAGCATAATGGGGATTTTCTAAAACTTTATCATAATTTTTTGTTTTTTTTTTTTTTTTTTTTTTTTGAAAAAAAAATTTTTTTTTTTTTTTTTTTTTTTTTTTTTTTTTGGGGGGGGGGTCAAAAATAATGTTGAATGTGTTTTCTAAAAATCTTTTTTAAACGTAGCTTCGACACTCTCTAGGCGCTAATGTGTAAGCAGTACCAAGACCGTCCGCTTAGTTTTTGAGAGCGCATAGGAGAACGTGGGTTGCTTACGTGGATTCATTGTATCTGAAAAGGACTTAGTTTCAGCTTAACCGTAACAACGGATGAAGAGAACATGTCAGGTTGTAGTGGATCACATTTGTATTTGATCCAAGTTCATCTCAGATAAAACGGTGAGGATAAGATTTCAAATCTTTGTGAAAGTTAACTTTCTTTGTGTAACACCTACATATCGCTTAGACACTTGCTTGAGTGCTAGGCATCATGTCCAGCGCTTAGCGCTTTCTAAAACATTGTAGCCCACGATTTTCTTCCATTTTTCTCTACTTCAACCAAAAGGCAACAAAGTATCGCACTCCAAAATTTGCTATTTTCATATGCTAACCTATGATTTTTATCCATTTCGTCTGTTTTAACGCAATGACAATTAGGTATGAGTAATTCAACATTCGCGCTTTTCTTATAGGTTATAATCCATAATTTTTGTCTGCTTTTATTCTCTAGACATAATGACAGTTAAGTACTAGTACTTAATTTCATGGGTTGTAACCTAGGTTACCCGGGCACTTGCTTTGGGTGTCGTATCCATGTCCGACACATGTCAGACACGGATTGGCTACACACATGTGGTTCAAAGCGAAATCCAATTTCCCCATTACTTATAACTCTAAGTTAACTTCTTTGATATACTTGGTTCAATGAAAATCGAAACCCATCGAGGTTTTAAATATCGGATATCGAAAAAATATCGGATGGCCAAAATTCATATCGGATTGCGGATATCGGAAAAATATCGGAGATATGTGGTAAATATTGAAATGCAATAACGGATATTTGCATGTATAGTATAATGCATTAAAATGTAATCTCAACATACTTAATGAAATTTAAGCATATAAAATGTAAATAATATATGTTTAGGATAACTAATCAACCTTGTAAAACAAAAAAAAATACAAATCAATGTTACGACATGTCTGTTTTTTTAGGCCAAAATGCCATTTTATATAATGAAAAAGTAATAATATGTCACCCAAAAATTACCAAACACGGTATATTGTATTACAACAAGCGATATAAAAAGATATATCTGCCAAGATATCGGTTGATATATCAACTATATCAAGGATATATCGCCCAAAATAGCCAAAAAGCAATAAATGATATTTAGAGATCATATTGGTTGCGGCAGCCCTGTAAAAGGATATATCGGGGGATATATTAGGCTAAATCGGAGATATTTAACGGGGGATATATTAGGCTAAATCGGAGATATTTAAAAGTTAAAATAATGAAACCCATCAATTAAAGATTAGAAAAATACTCAATAGTATCCCATGTGATCAAAACTAGACCTGATTCTACGTTTGCTTCACCGTTGCCACTTCATCTTGTTCAAATGAAGGTCGTAATTCCCAGTTGCTCGACGATAACAAAAGATCTTGATTCTTGTTTGATTTTAACTTAATACGTAGCTGTTATAGATAATAAAACACAATCCAAATTTTATAGATATTTTAATTTAATATTTGATATAATATAAATTATTGATATATAGCTATCCTCATATCCTACTTTTTACAAATATGTTGTCTTCTGTCCATGTTCGCACCTGCACCTGCACTTGCATCTATGCAGTCTATGCTATAATCCATAATTTTTGTACATTTGTATTCATTTCGACATAATGACAATTAAATATGCATACTTCAAAATTTGTTATTTTCATGGGCTATAATCTCACGATTTTGCTGATTTTAGTTGTTTCGACTCACCCGATGATTATTAAGTGTGTTTGCTTTAAAATTTTGATTTTCATGGACTATAACTCATAATTTTTACCTATTTTGTTCATTTAAACCTAATGTCAATTCAATATGCTTACTTCAAAATTCATGATTTCTATGGACTACGACCCATGAGTTTTGCATTTTTTTGTTATCTAATTGCAACTAAGTAAGCATGACCTATATTTTATGATTTTTATTCTTTTAGACCTAATGACATTTAAGCATGCTTACTTTAAAATTTAGGTTTGTCATGACTTGTAGCTCACAATTTTTATCCATTTTTTTTATTTCAACCAAATGACAATTAATTATGTGTATTTCTTAATTTAAATTTTGATAGTTATAATCCATATATTTTTTATTTTTTTCGTTTCTACTCAATGTCAATTAAGTACACATACTTAACGATTTTCATGGACAGTAATCTACAGCTTTTTCCATTTTTCTTCTTTTCCCTCCAATGACAATTATGTATGTGTACTTCAATGTTCATGTTATTCATGGACTATTACCCACAATTTTTGCTTTTTTTTATTTTCACCATAATAACAATTAAGTATGTGCACTTTGAAATTCACAATTTTCACAATTTTTATGAGCTGTAACCCACAATTTATTTTCTTTTTTTATTATTTTCCACTAATGTTAATTAGGTATATGTAATTCAACATTCTTGATTTTCATGGACCTACAATTAATGTTCATTTGTGTTCATTTTTCACCCAATGGAAGTTAATGCACACTTCAAAATTCAAGATTTTCATGGGCTATATAACTTATGATTTTTTACTATTTTCTTGTTTCCACCCAATAGCAATTATGTGTACTATAAAATTTGTGTTTTTCATAGGCCTCATGATTTTTGTTTGTTTGTTTCTTTTCCCACCTGATTGCAATTATGATGTGTATTTCAAAATTCACGATCTATACCCATGATTTTTATCCTTTTAGCTTTCCCTGTTGAAAGCGATGTCGAAAATTTGAGTGGTTTTCTGAAAATAATTTGACAATTGGGGGTATGCTGAAAAAATTGAGTTAGAGGGGTACAGTGAAAAAATCGAAAACATTTTAGGGGTTTGAAAAGCCTTAAGGGTTAGGTGCTAGGTGACATTTATAAAGTTTAGAGGGGTTATTTCAAAATGAACCAAACTTACTTAGGGGATTGTGTGAAATCTACCTTATTTTAAAAGCTTGAGTATGATAGTTTTTCAAAAAATTTGTATCAAATGGTTTCTTTAGGGTGGATATAGTAATGATAATGGACACTTAGCAGATACTTATTGACGTCCATTCTTCTAAAATGTTTCCAGATACATGTAAGTTGAGAATCTTGAAAGACCGGGAAGATCCCTTGAATCTTTTATCAGATGTCAAAGAATTCACTACTACAGGCTTATTGAGGCGCGCGCCTCGGGCGCGCCCCGGGCGCGGGGCGCTTCGGCCTGGGGGAAATGCGCCCCGCACGCGAGGCGGGGCGCTGCACGCAGCGAGGCGCGCGCCTCGCGTGCGCCTCACTTGCGCCTCGCTCGCGCCTCGCGTGCGCCTCACACCTGCGTTATGTAACATACTCTTTCTTCTATTTTTTAAATAATTTACATAATTACATATTTATATCATGTAATATACTCTTTCTTACTAGTTGCTAATCTATTTTCATCTTTTCATGTTTAACCTATAAAAAGGAAACAATAATTAGTAATTTAGTATACTTGTTTGCTAATTGTAACTTCATTCTCTAATTAGCATGCTAACTAGCAAATTATAAACATGTAAATATGTAATTGTTACATTCATTCTTCATCTTTTCATGCTAAGTAGCAAATATCAATTAAGAATACTAACTAGAAAATTATGAACAGTCATGTTTGTTAATTATATTTCTTAGTCTTTTATGTGACAATTTATAAACATATGCTCATAATTGTTAATCACTTAATTTGATGATTTAAATACATGTTTCTTTTATCTTTTTTATTACTTTAAAAATTCAGTTAGCATAATTTGATGATTTAAGTTGATATTCTCATAATTTTGGATGTAGGTAACTAATATGTTGCTTATATGTTTCTGTCTTATGATGTTGGTAAATATTAGTTTGAGTTATGCGCCTCAATTAGTGAGGCGCGCGCCTTGTTATGCGCTTTGCGCATGGTGCGCGTAAGGGACCTTTGCGCCCCGCATTGCGCTTTGCGCCTCGATAACACTGCACTACTATGTTTGAGTCTTTCTATCAGGGATATTTTACTTCAGAAATAAACACGTTTGATAAAAAAAATGGTATTAAACCTACATGTAAAGTACAAAATTCATTATTTTTAGATGTTGGTTTATGCATCCTTTATCTTTTATCCCTGAGAGCATTGTGACTGATGCACATCTTCTTTGATGCAGTCCTTTCTCGTACTGTTGGGAGACTAGTCCTGAAAAACACTCAGCAGGTAAGCTTGAACTTCTTATGCAACAGAAGTTTATGAGTATTTTGTTTTGTTTGCTTTACGAACAAATATTTCGTAATATTCCAACATATCCAGCCAATATTTTGTAGCTGTACCAATTTTTTGAGAAATTGTTGTCCCCAAGGTTTGTTAGTATACATTCATGTATCAGCATTTTAATAGTTACTAAGTGAATGGAAACATCTCCTTTAGTGATTTGTGAATGGAAACATCTCTTTTAGTGTTTTGTGAAATTCTAAGAACAGAGAATTTATTGTTTATGAGGGCTTAAATCAAGTGAAAATCCAAAGCTTGAGCAAAATTCATCCTCTTATGTTTTTAACTTTACCAATATTAGAAACTTGATTCTTTCTGAGCAACATAAATACCGAACCAAAACCTAAATCTGAAGTTTATCCCATATTAATGATGTATTGGTATCGAAACCAACGTTTAGAAATTTTAAGGAAGCATTTATAGTTTCTGAGGCTACATTAACTATCAAATTTTGAGAAATTAATATCTTCTCTATTCAAGCTTGCATACAATTGGTTGAACTTTTAGAGTAAACGTGACTATCAGATTTCGACACCCGTAAAAAAGCTTGATCTTTTAGCTGTACTGCAATGAAAATTTTAGCTTCTGAGCTCCAGAATATTGTGCTGGACAAGATATTGAGGATGAATCTCTACAGACTAGCAATTCTATTTAGCAAAAAACCTCATAGAGGGCCCTCTATAGAAAATTATATAGGTAGGAAGAAAGTATATGACTTCGTTACCAATTTTAAATCAGTGCAGTTAGTATACGAAACCAGTGCAGTAAATAAAACCCAATACAAACATGGGTTATTTTCGGATAGAACCCTGTCGCCCATTGCGGATAGGCCCCTGATGGTTTTTGAAAACCCTTTTAACCTTTAGAAGAAGAGATTTTTTGGCAAATGAACCCGAGGGTAAGAGTTAAGGGTCTATCTGCAACAATAGAACTAGAGTCCGCAATTTGGCTATAGTACAGGAGATCTATTGGCAATTAAGACTTTGTTACGAAGTTTAAATCAGTGCAATTAGTACAAAACCAGTGCAATAAATAAAATTCAATGCAAACATGGGTTAATTGCGGATAGACTCCTGTCGCCCATTGCAGATAGACCCCATGTAGTTGCAGATAGGCCTACCCTGAGGGATTTTTTGTAACTCATTTTAGTCTTTAGAGGAAGGGAGTTTTTTGGCAAACAGACCTGAGGGTAAAAGAGTTAAAAACATTTCACTTGGGCGTCTATTTGCAAAAATAGAACTACAGTCCTCAATTTGGCTATAGTATAGGGGATCTATTCGCAATTAACCCTATAAACATTTAAAATATCAGCACAGACCAACTACTGAATCAGTACAGGAATTGGTGCGATAATCAACTTCAAAATTGATAGTGAGACTCGTCACATCCCTATATGATTCTTATGACTCTTGCCATCAGAGATATTTTTTTGGCATATAAACCTGAGGTTGAAGGACTCAAACACATTTCTCTCGGGGATCTATCTGCAACTATAGGACTTCAGGAGATCTATGTGCAATTTTTGTATAGTATAGGGGGTTTGCTCACAATTAACTCTATAGCATTTAAAATATCAGTCCGATACAGGACTTGGTGCAATCATCACGTTCAAAATTTATAGGGAGGCTTGTGTCATGATTGTTTTTCCTTCAGCATGAATGACGAAATGTGTTGATATCTCATTTTTGGGTGTTTTTAATTATATATTCTTTTGACTAACAGGGAGCAGCAACAACTTGCTATATAGCATTGCATCCTCAAGTGAAAGGGGTGAGTGGAAAATATTTCAGTGACAGCAACATAGCTGAGCCAAGCGCCAAAGCGAAAGATACCGAATTGGCAAAGAAACTGTGGGACTTCAGCCTGGAATTGATCAGCTAGTGTGCTGAAGACTTGTCTCAGTATATTAAACCATGTTTGAATTGAAATTACTGTATTATGAAAATGTTTGTAACGATTATGTTTTGTTTTGAATGATACTGTTTGCGATTTCTAGCAGAATTATACTAGCAGTTGTGATATCTCAATTTTGGTCCTGAAAACACACTTTAAATAGGCTGTAGAGTTTTGAACACAGTGTGCAATTAAATGAGTTATGACAAAGAATTCATGCGGTAAGTAGGAAGTTGTTCCCTTGAAAATATTATTGACAGTAATTAGGGTGTAAGCGCTGAGATAGAATGTGTAGCTTTTGTTTTGGGTGGGCTAAGTTACCAAATTAGTATTTTAACTTGATCTTATTTTTCAATATGCTATTCTTTTTGCTTCGGTTTCAATATGATATTTTAACTTGTGCCCTGGTGACAATAAATCTCTTTTTTCTTGCCTATGGCAAGACTTCCGGGTAACTTTAATTTCTTTTTTCTTAGAAAATTTCTTCCATACTTTTAATCTATCAAAATCATTAAATCCGCAATCTTCTTCTCCTTCCAAATCCAAATGTCTTCCACCCCGTTACCCAATAATAACCTCCTCCTCCTTCAAACTCCCACAATTTACACCTAAATCCTAATCCAAACTGGTATCTCTACTTGGATAAAGGTTGTTGGGGTTGGATTAGAGTTAATGTTTGAATTGGGAGAGGTTGAAGAATAAAGAGGGGACTCAATGAAGGATTTTGTCGGGTAAAAGGGTGGAAGAAGTTGGAATTGAGAGAGGTTGAAGGAGAAATGAGGGGGTAGATTTAATAATTTTGATAGATCAAGGGAATTGAATTTTTTTTTTTAAATAAAATAAAATAAAAGTTTGACAGAATTCTCACCGCAGATTAGAAAAAATGGATCTTATTGTCATCAGAGCATAAGTTAAAATATCATATTAACGCTGAAACAAAGCTGATAAATAGCATACCGGAGAGTAGGTCGAGTTAGAAAATTGGGTTTGGATCCTCTGCACTGCACAAGTATCATTTCCAGCAGAGATTGCCAGTTCTCTTTATCAAACTTATGACATTATTTTGATACTTAAACGCAATTTCCTCATTGTTCGATAGTTCATTATAAATTGATCAAGTGACGAGACAAATCCGTAAAAAAATTAGCTTAACCAACATCTTGAACTCGTGACTATTAAATTCCCTTCTTTAATAGTATAAAATGATAAGAGCAGATGACTGATATAACATATCGCTCAAAAGTAAAAAATCTTTTTTGCCTTTTTTTGTCATGAGATGAAGTATACTTGGCCAATAACACCTTGCTAACTCAAAGAAACAAAACCCAGGTCTTGTACGGGGAAGGAATGTCATAACATGCACAAGTGCAGTTTACCCAGGTATTGGATTGAAATTAACTATTAATTGGCACAGAATACTGTACACAGTTAGTCGAAAATAAAAGCGCAACGATCCCACAAATTGCTAGGGGTACGGACCTTACACCCTCAGACGGTCAGACGGTAAGTTACACGCAAAAAGGTTGAGCATCTTTGCAATTTCTATCTTGTTATGTAAATGGAAGGAACAAATGCGACTCCTCGAGTCTACAGCATCCGAAACTCGGACCACCCTGGAGAATAGACCAACAAAATCGGGATACATTCTGGAATTTTTTGAAGTCTTCTGTACAAAGTCAGCTCGAAATTCTTCACTGATGTCATTCCATAATCAGTTACAGTCGTAAAAGAAACTTCTGTTAGAACTGCTGATACAGACACACCAGAGGAACACCAAGGGCCTTTATTTCTCTATCTCAAAACAGAAATTAATCACAAAATTAGCAGGCTGACTTCAGTTGCAACTGCTCGACAGATAATGGAAACATTGCAACCAAGGTTTGTTCAAGGAACTATTATTATTCTGAAGTAGCAGTTTCATCTTAAATCCCTATAAACAATACAATTCTCACAAGCAGAGAAGTAAAGCAGCAGCAGCAGCCAAAAGTTCCAAGTAGTCAAGGCGGGCATTTAAAGAATACAAACCGACAGGATACAGTCAACCTAGGAGAACCAATTAATTTGACGGTTCTTCGTACATAGCCGCCATATAGTGTAGCGCTTTGGAACCTATTACCCCTATAATTTTATTTTGACGATAGACCCCTTGGGGTTTTTTTTTTTTTTTTTTTTTTTTTTGGAAATTACAGATTTTGAGGAGATGGCTTTGTATTGAGAGGAAGAAATGAGGATGATGAGTTTTAATGCTTTGGTGGATCGTAGTCTTCTCGAGAATCCGCCATCGATGGAATTGTATTTATGCACCAAAAGGGCCTGTTAAACTTCATTGTGACAAACAAGTTCAGGCCAATGGGCCAGTAGGCCCAGTACTCATTTGGGCCGTTGTTTGTTTAACCTATACAATGGGAGACGCGTGCCGTTAACCCGTGAATGATGCAAATTCGGCCCGGTTGGGCTTTGGATTGGGCCTCCGTATTTTCATCGGGTCTATATTCTGAAAAGACTAATCATGTAAACGGGCAAGGCTTTATTCTCTTTCAACCTAGGTGAAATTTTAGCGGATATTACATCTGGGTGAACTTAATGAACCTATCTAAGGGAAGGAGTCGAGAATTTCATCCAGGTGATCTACCTGCCAAGTCGAAATACAGTGGTAATAAATTCCAAAGTGCGATACTACAGGGGGTCTACGTGCAATCAATGCTTTGAACCACAACCAACATATGTATGCTAGCAAAGAAATTCACGAACTATTTGCGGACTTTATGTTCTATGTAAAAAAGTTTTAAGTTGTTTTATCATAATCTCATCTTCCAGTAAGTTACTTTTCTAGGTGTACAGGCAAAAATAAAATGCTCTATATCTTCATTTAGCACCTTTAAAGTCATAGAAAGAAACTTACATGAACTTGACATCACCGTCACTAGCGAGGAACAGGAACTAGTCCAGTAACCTCCACTTTCCTCTGATCAATCTGCTTGCAGTTTCTTTTTTCTCTTCTTTTGGCCCTTGAGTTATGTCAGATGTTGTATGAAGCCAACGTCTCCACATGCTGGACCAAACAAAATAAGCCAGCAAAAATAAAGCATCAGCTCACAGTCTTTGCACAAAGTTAGATAACATCTCTATGCCCTTGAGTTGGACCAGGACAAAATTTAGTGATGACTTCAGCTTTTGACTGATAGGCCTATATAGCCTTGCTATCATGCCCTCCACGGAAACCCTTATTCAGTTTCCTTCCATATTGAATATGGGGAACATCAGATGATACTAGTTTCCCAAAAGTCAAAGAGTCCTGCTGCATTTGTCGAAGAAGAGTCAGACTAGGGTCATGATAGGTAGAACTGGTGTTGCTTTGATTGTTTGAAGATCTTAGCACGCTTGTGGAACCTTCATGAATGTAAGCCATGTGCTTGGGTTGATTATAAGGAATAGCCCCATTTCCACCTGCTAGTGGAGTCGATGCACCTGAGGTGGTTCTAGGGCTTGAAATAGGAGAAGGTGATAACCTCCCATCAATATGTTGCGGAGATCTTGAACCCAATAAAGGGCTTCCAATGGGAGACACTGGACAAGATAAATTCCATGCACGGCCATCGCTGCAAATTTAATCAAGTCAGGAAACAAAATCCTTTGTTTTATTTAAAGATGAACATAAGCATTTTGGAATTGAATCTTGAGACAGAAAAGTGGGTTATCAGATAAAGTGCACAAAGGCTGCAAAATATTAAATTTCACAGGATAACAGGGGCTTGTGGTTTCACAGGATAACATGTGGGTCTATGTGAATGGTCATTTTTTCCTTTATTGTCTATGTGAGTGGCTGCTCACGTCGGTGCTGGAAGCGATAAAATCTTTAAGATTGGACTGGAGAACAGATCAGATTTAGAATATGAACCAGAAGCAAGTCCTGAATAGCTAAATGCTGGAGCTAAAAAGTTCAGAATTTGAAATATCAACAGGACAAAATCAAAGACGGACACTATTACTTCTGGAATAATGCCAGTTTTGATGTTTTGAGTAACAAGATTATAATCACAAACAAATGTCCAAGATCATTAAACCATATTTGGTCAAAAGACAGTGTGCTGGTTTTCATAAAATAAAGCTAGAGTGATTGCTAGAAATAATAACGAGCATACCAATACAACTGGATGATATAGTCAGAGGAAATCTTTAATTACTTCCCTAAAACAAAATCAATGGCACTTGACAAGGATAAACTTTGCCTCCATCCCCTCATGCTTTGCAAAACAAAAAGATATGAGATAGGAGAAAAGACAGATAACATTACCTGGTTAGCGTAGTAGATTTTGCGCCTCTGAGCTGGTGCTTTCCAGTAACATCAACTTCCAGGGAGGAAAGGTTTCTCACATGTCCAAAACCCTAAATACCCATTACCCAAAAATGCTTAAACAATGAGACCGAAGCTTAGAAATAACTGACGCTAACACAAGTAAACTCGCACTTAATGCCCGTGCCACTGGTGCAACAAATTCTCTTTTCTGTTTTGCACTAAGGACTACTATATACCAATCAGGATAAGTAGGAAACAGTCCAAAAATTAATCAATTAAATAAACAACAATTTCATACCAAAACTTAAGTAAATAAGAGATGAATTACCCTCTTCTCAAGTTATTACCCCCCTCACCCCCAACCCACACACACACACAAAACCCAACCTTGGCATTTGAAGTCATGTATATCGGTCAGCAAAGACCTAAAGAGGACCTAGACTTCTCGGAGGCTCTAAGTAATGCATGCAACAACTTCATCATCTGAAGATATCATGCACCACATTGACCTTGCAAAATATAAATTAATCAGCGAAGACTTAAAAAGGCCCAAGACTTCTGGGAAGCTCTAAGCAATGCATACAAAAACAATTCACCATTGGAAGCAATTATGCACCTTAATGACCTTGCCAACATCTACTTCTGTTGCAGGATATCTAACATAGAGGTTTGAGTAAGAGAAGAAGAGTGATGTTATGATATAACACACAGAAGTGTACAACTATACCAGTATAACAAGCACGCGAAGAGGAAAGTAACGAATGGAGTTGCTTACAAAATTATAGCTAATGGAACACCAACTCAGGTGCAGAACAAAGGAAACCCAGAAGAACTTAATGATATTTGAGGAACAGTGTCCTTTTTCCTTGGAATAGAGAACCTATATTTATGTTAATACCTTATAAGTTGCTGTACATGGATCACTTGTACGGAGTTCTAAAGTTTCAGGAGAAGGGAAGGATCTATCCACTGGAGCAGAATTTTTCACGAAGGGGTGTTGCAGAAGCTCAGCAGCTGTAGGACGATATGATGGTTCTCGTTGTAGACACCGTCTTATAAAATCCTTCCCATCTTCTGACAGATGACCAGGAATTGCTGGAAGCTCCCTACTGTTCCCAATCTTGAACATTGCAGCAATCTTTGGACAAAATAAAGGCAATTGCCAACTTTAAATCAGCACAGGATTTCCTAAACTTCCAAGTAATCATACTACTATAAATAATAGAAAATGAATGGAAAGGGTAACTGATATCCATCTAAGAATACTAGTGGGAGAAAACATGCAGCTTTCAGGACAGACTACCAACCCCTTCATATTGGCTCCATGGTGGTTTTGATGTAGCCATCTCCAAAATTGTGCAACCAAGGCTCCATATATCAACAGCAAGGTTACATCCATTTGCATTTTTGATAACCTGAAAATACAGAAAGTGAGGAAATGCAAGGAAGAAGTATTCCAATTGAGACATAAGAAACAAAAGAATAAATCGGGACAGCATACTCAAACCAAAAGCAATCATACCTCAGGAGCCATCCAGTAGGGACTTCCCTTGAATGATAGTGGACATGATTGCCCAGTAATCTGGAAAAAGAAAATGGAACTTAAAAATAAGTTTATGTAGCTCAACAAATAATAATTATCACTATAAAAACTAGAAATCCATATTAAGCTTGCATATAGTTCATGTCTCATCCTTCCAGTAAACTAAAATTGTGCAACATATACGAGGCTAAAATAAACTGGTTAGCCGGAGGCTTCATGGTTAAAGACACGTAATGCTGGTATAAATTAGATTCACTGGGAAGCATCACATAATTTAGATTCACTAGATCATACATGCACATACGATTGTGGATTAATTCTCAAAAAGTTTAAACGCGCGTGTGTGCGAGCACGCGTGCATATTCAAGTAATCTTACTATAAATATGATCATTATTAATCAAAATCTTATGCATCTGTTGAAAGATGGATAGGTAGTTTGTTCATATATATTGTACGCGCATGCACGACCCCCATGCCCCATGTGCAGGAAATTTTCCCAGTTAATCTTGTGCTACAGAGAAAAAAGTAACCTCAGAATGAGAAAATTAAAGGCTTCAAAGGCTTTTTTTCATGTATCAAACATTTGAAAAGAGCAGTATTTCAGCTGGAAACAATATATTATTTGACGCATGTGCATAAAGATTCAGAACCTCATGCTCCCTCATTTTTGGACTGTTCTGATGCATAGTTCGAGATAAACAGTGTGGATCATCCAGAGAATGCTCCATCAAGGTGATCTCCTAAAGGTTATTTTGAGAACTAATCCTCACATGATTGGATGATCCACCATAGAATTTTCAGAATGCTTACTTTGAAAACTATTTTTCATAGGTCCTGGAAAGAACTAGTTTGTGAGATAGCTCGGTCAGACCTACATGATGATTGATGAGCTACCTTTTGAATGTCCCACATAACTAATATTGATCTATATATCCAAAATATCCTAAGAATGAGAGGTGAAAAAAATTTGAAACCTCTTACCCATGCATCAAAGTCCCCAACAAAAGTGTTCGGATTTTGCAACCAACTTATGAAGGTGACAGAACTGAAACGCTTGATGTCTTGTTATTCAACTAACTTGAATATGTTGAACAAGATAAACTCATCCATGGAATGGCCCGTGAAAGTGTTCTCACAAAGTACTGTCCTGAAGTTCTCACTAGAAATCCGCCACGAAGCTCATCTGTGTGGACGTTGGTTTTTATTTATTATTAATTTTTGGGGGTTGGGGTGTGCGGGGATGGTGTCAGGGGGAGATGGTATGATGTGGATTATTTGGAAGGCCATTACTTTCAGATTAACTAATCATTTGTGTGGCTAAATGTCAAAAATAAAATAATTTAAGTTTTTTAGTTATGGATCAAGTACTTGCAAAATGAAGGGTTCAAGTCAGCAAGTCCATTAGTTAATGGTTTAGAATGTTCAAAGCATGAAAATTGTGGGTTTTTAACTGTTTTGAGATCATAATATACAGACTAGATCAGGAGTCTGTATGCCTCAAACCATATACCTAAGGAACATGCAATCTTACCCATCCACTTTGCAGTACTTGATGCATAGGTAAAACTAACAGATTCACTTTTTTTAATCCTTTCTTACGCTCTCAAAGTCTCAAGAATTAAATCTAAAGTTTAATCACTTTCCAATGGTGATTCACTATTAATATATGAAATCAAATAGTAGAAATTACAAAATTTAACACCTAAACTCTTGCAGTTTTCAAAAAGGAAAATATATGATCCAGTTGCAACTTGCAAGTCTATGATTTGGTGTCACATATCGTAATAAACAAACTATATATATAGTAAGTGCTGCTAGCCAAAAGGGATGAAACATGCTCACGTGCAGAAGTGTAAGAATCCTTTCTTGGAACAAAATCTTGTCACTTCTTATAAGTGCATTTAGTGGTCTCCATTACATGGTCAAACTATCTGAATCAATTCTCTCATGTTATGCTCAATATAAGTAACCCCTAATTTCTTACAAATTTATTTGTAATATCTTAGTATGTATATCCACATATCCATTATAAAGTATAATTTTTTGCTAAACTCGTTTTTGCACATGTCATTTCTCATTCACCCAATATTCTAATCCATAAAGCAGTGTTAGTCTTATAGTTGTTCTACACAATTTTCTCTAAGTGCGCCTTTTTAAGTGCTGAAAAGAAATTAGATGACTCGTATTAAGACATATGATAGCAGAATTTACAATAAGGCAGAAAAAACATCGTTTATCAATTTAACTTCTTGTTGAAAAAAGGTAATTTGAGACAAATAAATCAACTAGAAGCATGGAACTTAGCCAATGTAAAACCTTACATGTTTTGCCATCCCAAAGTCAGCTAATTTTACACGCCCATTAGGATCTACAAGGATATTTGCTCCTTTGATATCCCTGCGCAAGCAGCAACGTCAATTAGAAGCAAAGAGAATATCAAGCTGGCAAAGGAAATTAAGCAACAGACAATGAAATTCAATTTCATTTCAAATATACAGAATAATTTCTGGAGCAATAACTGAAAATGAAAAAAAAAAGAATCAAACCTATGGACAGTATTCTTGGCATGCAAATACGCAAGCCCCGAAAGTATTTGCTTAGTATAGTTGCGAACGGCTACTTCTCCAAACTGTCCATATTCTTGTAGAAGTTTATGGATGGAACCACCAGATACATACTCCAGGTATATGTAAAGTTTATCATCCACCTGTTCAAGACATAAGGATAAATTGACTTACTAACTGAAGAAATAAAGAAGGAAGCTGTCAGTAAAGTCATGTAAAGAGTAGCAAGACAGCGTACAAGCAGAATAGGTGCAAGTTCATTAACAAATATTTGTTATCATGAGTGATATACTAGCGACTTCAACTCATGCAACAGATAGGTTCATCTCGTATTGGTGTCTGGTGATGTGGTATTGCACTATCAGACGCCACAAGTACCTTTAAATTTTGAAGTCAAAATTATGAGCACCATGCTTGAAGCTGTACGTTCACTATGCATCTCCTAACTTCTGTCTTGGTAGATACTAGAGGAATGCCAACCTATATTTTGGCATACATTTTGGCCTTGTGTTACTCCAGGATGCTACCTCAAGCCCAGTCCCAGCTATTGTATTTTCTTTTTCCTCATTCTACCACCAAGTCAGATTAGTTAAGACTAATCACTTGGGACTATCTTGATGGAGACAATATCTCCCAGGTTAGGATATCATCATCAGCTACAAGTTGGTTGATAACTGGAACTCTTTGATCACCCGATTAAATCAGCTAACTGGTCTAATGGCTCAAAAAGAGGATGAACCCCCAATTGAAAAATATAGTAGGCCCTACTCTTGCCGAATAACAAACCATGAAACAAATTTGGAAATAATTGTTTATTCGGCCAAAGAGGGTAATTTTCAGTTATTTGGTACTATTTATGCGTATGTGGTTTTCTTTCTTTCTTTCTTGGTTTTTTTTTTTGTTGGGGGGGGGGGGTCCTGTCTGTTGTGTGGTAGGCACACTTATCCATCATTACAGATGAATGCAAGCACATAATGAACTTCTCAATCAAATGTCTTGTAGATACGCACTGAACTAGAGAAAGGCTAAACAAAGAAAATTGTGCAAGTAAAAATGAAGAACAGATTAGGAGGATATTGTTGGGAAGTTAACAGTTAAAAACTTAAAATATGACAGTAACATATTGGAGGAAATAGCCAATTAGCCATAGATAGAGTGACCACCGTTAACTAGAACATTGGTCAATGGGAAGGTGCAGAAAAAGGTGAAATAAATGAAACAAGAGCGGCAAATGTCATATTGGTAACCGGGAACAGAGGGAAGTAGTCATCATAATACTGACAATTCTATGGAGTAGTTTACTGGAAGTCTGAAACACACAAAGAGCTCAAAAGGAACAGCACTACACACATACGGACTACAGTTACCTGCTTGAGAGGAAAATAAGTTGTATAGACTAGAAGTCAACAAAGGGTATCTCTTTAACAAGGGTCATTGCTTTTACTAATTCAAAGGTTCACATTGTTATGAGATGTGGCAACTTAATAAGATCAACTATCCACAAGAGGATCTAAAAATCAAAAATCGCTTACAAGAAGCATAGATCAAGGGCAAAATTGAAACTTTACAAATCTCGTAATATTAAAGTATAACAATGTAAAGGCAAGGAAATGATTGCACAGTAAAGGAAATAGGCACAATAAGATATACCGTTTCAGAACCATAGTATTGCACTATGTTAGGATGCCGTAGCCGACTCAAAAGAGATATTTCCTGTCACATTAAACAAACCACTTGATATTTGATATTATTTCAGAAGCATGTTCTAGAACAGGTTAAATCATGTTTGTTTTGATATTTGCCCAGTAAATAGCAACAAAGAGATATTTACTTGACCCAGCTGCTTGGCGCTCTCCCTTGATTTGGCATCATCAGAAAAAAGGGTAACCTCCTTCATTGCACACATTTCACCATTTTCACTACATAAAAGAGAGAATAAGAGCAAATTTGCAAACGAAGAGAAAGAAAGAAAGAAAACAAACGGCAATAAACAAAATTGAAAGAAAGATAACAGTTAAAAGCAGTATTTCTGAAAAGGCACAAGCACAATCAGTTCATCTGATTCACTAGAAGTGATAGCATAGTTGGCATGCCAGGTAAATTCGTTTAATATAAACTTATTTGTTACAGACTGTGCAGATTATAGGAATAAGAACATAAGGACTTGACAGAATTGTAAAAAAGAATAAATCTCACGACACCACCTTTATATTTATTCAAAGCTATCACTTTTTTTTAAACTTCATCAGGATGCATGCGCATGTGGAAGAGGGTCTAGAGTATTAGAAGGTTTATTTTCCAGTATTTGATATTTGAACATTAATCACAGTCAAGGTAAGTAATACATTTGTCTTACTTAAATGTTTAGAGCACAAATATATGCAAAAAGGCACATTGATACACATAGACACAGTGCCACAGTGGTGGAGCCAGGATTTTTTTGGGT